TCTACAGAAAAAAATCGATTTCTTTGCTCCCAATATATGTACTCTGAAATTCAATAGAGAAAAGCATTTTACCCACAATCAATTGCTCCTCAGCTTGCTAGCAGCAGGAATAAGAGAACTATAACGAAATCTACGTGATTCCCTCCACCACATGAAAAAGAGGCAAGCAAAAGAAAAAAATGAAAATACATACGGGGGTGTCTTCTCGGGGGTCTGATTCATCAGAGTCGGTCCTAAGGTGGGCCTAAAAAAAATCAGCAGCAGCCAGGCTTTAACGGCAATTAATTACGACGAAAAAACAACGCAATCAATCAATTAACGAGGCAGTGTTCAGGTGTCTGTGTGGGTTATTTACAAGTGATTCAATCGAAAGCAATTGATAAGAAACCATCCAAAAAATATAAAAATTAAAGCTGTACAAATATATGGCATGCCCATCTAAGGTCAAGAGCAGACTAAAAAATCTGCTTACTCGAACTTTCCGGCCAGCGCTTTGCCATCTGTGTTTAGTAATGGTAGCCGATCGCATTAGTTGCTTCTTGGTAACTTTGTCCGACAATTGTCGGCTGAGTTTGCCTTTAAAACTGCCATCCAAACGAGAAAATGGGCCCTGTTTCTTTTGGGACTGCAATCATTATTAGTGGGTTAATATCAGGCATATGCTACCGAAGAATTCACCCAGCAATGCTTTGTAAGGGTGGTACGGAAAACTATAGCCTATAGGTTAATCAAGAATGTCCTAACAATAATGCAAAAATACTTTCGGGTATTTCAAATAAAGCTTAAATTATTGAAGTTTTCACTACTTTTACTAAAAAGGTTCGTTTGTTGAGATGTTGAGATGTTGAGACGCTAAGCTATTTTTGAGGATGGGAGAAGTCTGCTTTTGTTTGTTGCAACTTTTCTGATGGATTCTAATGGACATTTGTGGTTTTCTTCCCAGCAATCAACACATGCTTAACTGTTCGCTTTGGCGTTTGGAATGTTTTTTTCATTTAGATTTAGTATCCAACTTCCAACACCCGAAAACTTTGCATTTTTCATGCACGATTTTATTGTTCATCTGAAATATCATTCTTAGTCGATTATCAACTGAACCATTTTCATTTGAACTATGAAGATACGTTCTTTATACGCTCTTTGTTGCATTTTTATGCTTCATTCTGTGTTCAATCGATTTCTGTTTGTTGTAATACAAAAAGAATTCACTGCATTTTTTATAAAACATTTTACAGGCATTTTCGTTTCAATGAGAGCAGTTGCAAACACAATTATATGGAATTTCAAATTCGCGTTTAAATACTCCTAAGCATCTAAAGAAATTTCGTTGCGCTGCCACCATTCAGTTTTGTTTTACGGTTCTTTCAGATATCGACCAGTTCATTTTTTTCCTGTTTCCACTCCTGTTTTTAAAACATTCTAGTTTCAGTTAGTTTCTTGAGCCTTATAGATGTTTGCCTGCCTGCATCTCGTTTCTCTTGCCCAAATTTGAAAAAAAATCGGGTAAATCATCAATTAGAGCATTTCCGTTAGGACATTCTTCTTCATTTGCTTAATACTCGTCCATAAATTCCAGCACCTTTGTTAGTGAGGCGATGTAAAGAGTGTGAATGTGTAACGACATCCAAACCATACTTACATCCGGCTGTAGGAGAGCTTTGGATTCCAGCGCCAGAATGTAGAAAAGCCAGTAAAGAGCGAAAGGATTTATGTACGAAGCCCATTCGGTGTCCACAAACGTGAAGGTGCGTGGATCTTCGGACGTGGCATTGTCGCATGATGAAACTCGCAACGGTGTTAAGCCAAAGTACCTAAATAAAACATCCATAAAACGGTGAAAAAGTTGGAGTTACCAACCAAACCTTGCCCATGTGCTGTTTTGAGGCAGCAATTCCTGCGGCCACTGGAATTGGTAGGTGTATAGAGCGCACATGTGCCCAAACACAAACGGCAATATGCAGCACATCAGAATGGCGAAACCTCGCCGCAATTGCTTGTAGCAGGCCCACCAAGTGGCCACCGCGAGAAATACCAAAAAGTATAATCCGCCAACCACTGAAGGCCGTAAAACGGCCGCTAGACATAGAGTGATCAGAACTCCATAGCGACCTGAAATTGGTAAAACCAGCTGAATATTGTAGATAAGTTCTATATTGTTGAGGCGGATTCAATTTTTTGCAAACTTCTTGTTCGGTATTTCGCCTCAAAAATGTTTGTCTTTGAAAAAGACAGAATTTCCTCACGTCTTCTATTACAGATTGATAAATAGTGCTCCTATTTCACAATAAGAACGAGTTATTTATCAAAAAGTAATCAAGAACTATCACCTAGAGGGTATCCTGCGACACACTTAGGCTCAAGCTGTAAGAGAAAATTC